GGAAGCAAAAGAAGAAAGTTTTATGAGTTCTTCCTGGCGAGGTGAGCTTCCTAGGGCTGAAAATTCTCCAAAGATAGCAAATGTACTTAACAGTTGTTAGAAAGCCAGAAAACACGAAAAATATCCACTATACTATGGAACATCTGCTCTTCTCCCTAAAAGAAACTAATACCATCTTACAGAGAACAGTATTAGATATATTCTTTTTCTCAGCAGAAGGATACACATTAACATTTTTATTTTTAGCTTCAGAGAAGAGGCTAAAATTGAATATAATTTAACAAAGGAAAGTTTCTTCCCAGGGCACCTGTTGCTCTTAGAACATTCTGGGAGAGAGGGTGAGTCCAAAAAATCACTATAAATAGCACAGAAAGAACCAGGGATATCTGTCAGGAGTAGGACTGCCGTAGGGGGAGCAAGAGCAGGAGGCACTGGACATTCTTTCTGTGCATTTGACTTTTGTCCCCACTATTGTATATATACAACTTGCTCCATCCTTTCCCACCTACATTCGTGTTTGTGGTGGTGTATTTCTGAACATAGCCGCACCTGATCCATTCCATTCTGTGAGCAAAATAGAGCAGGCTGGAAAGGGCTAAGATACAGAAACAAACCTTACACCAGAGTGCAACTGTCATGTGCATCACAGCCAGATCGGCATATGGACCGTGGGGAGAGACAGTAGGAATGGTGTAGTGTGTGTGAAGTGTGTGTCTACATGTGGTGGGATCTGATATTATGCATCTGGACCCCACATACATCATCTCTTAACACTCACAGCAGCTCTAGAAGGTGAGTGGGTGTGATTAGAGATTTAATTAAAAAAACAGCATCTGATGGAGAGTCAGGTAATGGGCACCAAGAACATACCAGGTAATTTGTTCAGCAGGTAACAGAGTTCGGTCAGCCTCTGAGATGGGCGCTGAATATATACTAACAAGAGAAGGGCAGGGTCCTTATCCTAAATAAACAGAACTGCCAAAGCAGATTATAAAAATGGGATATGGGCACAGGAATACTAAAATATCCATTATTAGAGCTAAAGTATGATGTATAGAGTAAAATGAATTGAGCTCATGATCTACAGGAGGCCATGCAAATTTAAATTACAGATTAAAAATGAAGGTATTATTAATAATTATGCTGAAACACCAGGTATAAACCAGGAATTTGGGGGACAAAGTGGGACACATGATTACCCCAATTATATATCACCTAGAGAATCCACAGGGATAAGTCAAGGAAATACAGCCAAGAAAGCAAAAAATACATATATATACAAAGGTTGAAAACCAAGGAATATCTGACTTAGAATAGACTATTTTCTTTCCTTGGGTTTAACATTGGAAGAGATAACGTGAAAAACCAGAGACACCAATATTTATTTAATTTTTATTTTTTCTCTCTTAATTCACTTGCCAGCCAGGGACTACCATGCATTGCTCCAGCAACAGCATTAGCCATAAAACTCTCATCGAAAGTTATTGTATAGGATTGAAAAGCAAGGGGGTAAATTTGCCTCAGCAGTGGGGTCAGTGGTAAGATGGAGGCTGGTTCAATGATTAACTTATAAAAACCTTGAAAGTTTCAGTTGCAGAGATTTCCAAGCTGATGATGATACCCAAAGAATTTCTGCAGGATGTGCCCATGGGGACAAAGCCAGAAGTCTGACTCAGAAATTTCAGTGATGTGAAGAAAGGAAATCACATGTTTATCACCAGACATTATGTCACCACTCAAAAGGACTCTAATTGTTAGTAGATTGACTGTATAAGAGAAAGATACCAATGGGAAATACTCTTTGATCTCAGAATGAAGGAAAGAATTCGTAGCTGTCCCCAAAAACTGGCATCTCTGCTTCAGGCAGACAGTTTGATCTAGGCTTCAGTTTTGCAAATGTTGTAATACTGTACTCAGAAAGTTAGCAGAGCTTTATGAGATATCTTTAAAAAGATTTTTGAAACAGTTTGACACTCCAGTTTGTCAGCGCTGCAGGACTGTTCCTGAGCTTCTAAGCGTTGACTTTGAGTACTAACCTGGGACAGGCAAGCCATTTTCATTAAGACATTCAAAAGGACAACCTCAATAGCATTATGTTTGAAAGGAAAAGAGATGTTGAACATGGCTTCTGTATTTTACAATTAGGCCTTGTATCCCCTTGATTATATTAGCTTGTGAAATCCCATGTCCCTTCTCCCCAACACTGTACAAAGCTTCTCTTCAAAGTGCACACTTACAGAGATTTGGAGGATTAGAAATCCAGTACCTAAGTAATGTGGGTCAGCCAGACCTAGAGGTAAAAAACATTGTGTCCTTAAGCAGACAGTTTAACACTCTAGTGGTTGAGCAAGGAATGTCCAAGTGAGGTGAAAAATGTGTTCAGAGGTCTTTGGCCCAGAAGTAATTTCAAGCCTCCCTACAGATTCATAGGCCTCTTTCTTTCTTTCCCTTTTTTCTTATTAGCACTTAATCCCTATCACACACTGTATATTTTATTTGTTTTATGGTGGTTGTTATCCATGAAGGCAAAGTTCTGTTTCATAATTTCTATATTCTCAGTGCCTAAAACATTTGTTTGGCATATAACAGGTATTTGATAATATCTATTGATTGACTGACTGAATGAATAAAAGATTCCTCTCCTCATTTAAATATGGGTCATTTAGCCTAGTTTACACTTATAATGTAATGTAATCAACTGAGAAAAGGAGTACTCCAAAGCCCTATTCTTTTTCCCCTGTGCCTGGAGGCTTCTGGGCTGGGGAGTGACACTTTTTGAAAGAAAGCAATTTGAAAGATTACACTGGAAATTTGGAGTGAAATTAAGTGTGGAGCTAAAAGGAAATGAAAATAAGTGAATTCACCCACATTTTGAAATTTAAAAAAAACAGGCTAACATTCCAAAAAGAAGATAGACTACAAAAAGATACCACGCTTGTTAAATTTCTGTAACTTAATCATGCCTTTCAGTTGTGCTCTACTTATCTCCCTTTACAGCAAGAAATCCCTCAACCACATAAACTAAAAAGGTTCAATGACAGTCAAGAAATATAAAATGATGGGGAATGTACCCTGAACCAAAGAAGAGTCCCAAGAAACAGCGAAACAGAAATTTTAAATAGAATGAAGGGGGAAAGCACACCAGCAAACTGGGGCCTCGAAAGGAAAACAAGAACTCTGGGAACTGAGAATAACAACTTAACAAACAGAAAAGTAGCTAGTGACAGAAGAGCGAGGAGACAGGCATCAGGGCTCTCCACAGGAAGGATCGAGAGAAAAGAACATCCCACTGTGACAGAAAAAGTGGGACCACCAGGCTCTTCTTCCCTGCCATCATCTCCAATCCCAGTGCTTGCTTAATTGTGCTGCTCTTTATAATTCAGGGTATTCTCAAATCCAGGTTTTCTTTCCAGCGTCTACAGCCACAACTCCCGTTTAAAGTCTCATAATGTTCACACAGAACATGGTAATTACCATGCCACTCTGTCTCCTGGCTCACCACCCTTCAATCCTTCTTCCTAGTTTTTCCAAGGCAAAGTGAACCATTCTACTTTCCCGCAGAAAACGCATTAGAGGTTCCTCCTCAGCCTATTGGAATGATGACAATTCCAGTAATATTTTCAAACCGTTTGGTAATGAGGTGCACAAATGTTCACTATAAGGCCCAAGCGTGAACTCTGTAAGTACGGAGCCCATGGCTGTCTTATTCACGGCTGAATCCCAAAAAACTAGCACAGTGCCTGTGCTCCACAAACATTTAACATTTGAATAAAAGTGGAACGATCATGATGTAAAATCATGTAAAATGGAATTCTAATAATGTAATTATATGCACACAAACAAAAATCAGAAAACACAGCAAAAATAGTTATTTTTTAAATTTTAGTTATGGTTTTTTATGGGTTTTCAAATTCTGCCATGAAAGCTTTTTTTCCTGTGATACTGAGATTTTTAAAATACAGGCACAAACAAAAAGAGAGCAGAACAAAAATCAGGCACCTGACACACCAGTTGACAACGTGAAGGTGCTATGAGAAGTACATTATCCTCATCCACTACACAGGATCCTTCATCTTCCAGCCCTGCCTCAGCTCTGCCTCTGGTCACTTCTCTGCCACCCAGGGGAATCAGCATGGCCAAGCTATGCTGTGCTCTTCACATTTGTGTTTGCTGTCTATTCTCTGTTACCCCACTATTCCAGGATGCCCAATGTGGTGTTTGCCATCTTTTCTTTCATTGGAGCAAGCACAATTCTTGACATACAGGTGAACATATTAAATATTGATTGTGTAAATTAACTAACACACGAATAAGGCATTTACTGTAAACTAGTACTCACTTAATGAAGTTTCTGTCAGGACTAAACAGTAAAATGTATGCAAATATGTCTGGCTTGGAGGCCAGGCACATGGCTCATGCCTGTAATCCCAGCACTTTGGGAGGCTGAGGCAGGTGCATCACCTGAGGTTGGGAGTTCAGGACCAGCCAGACCAACACGGAGAAACCCTCTTTCTACCAAAAATACAAAATTAGCCAGATGCAGTGACACATGCCTATAATCCCAGCTACTCAAGAGGTTGAGGTGGGAGAATCACTTGAACCTGGGAGGCAGAGGTTGCAGTGAGCAGAGATTGCACCATTGCACTCCAGCCTGGGCAACAAGAGTGAAACTTTGTTTCATAAAAAAAAAAAAAAAAAAGAAGAATGGAAAATATGCCTGGCTCATACTAAGACCTCAAAAAGCAAACACAGTTACCAACTATTATTATTATAACCTTGTACAAGTTGCTTTGCTCCTTTTGCCACGATGATCTTAAATTGCAGATGATAATTCCTGCCTTGCCTACTCATCACCTTGAAATGAGAAAGAATGTAAAGCAGTTGGGAAACCATAAATCACTAAAAAACATATTATTATCATTATGATGATGTTGATGATTATGTGCCATTTTCTTTGTTAATCTTGCCTATACTAAGCTTATTATTTAAAGTCACATTACCTTTGCTGATGTTTCAAACCATCCTACAAAACCATGCTCCTTGCAGAACTGGTCCATCTTGAGGCCGTTGTTCATGAGCACATCTTTCCCCTGGTCACATTTGTTGGCCAACAAAACCACTGAAACTGGTTTGCCATTAGGGAGAGTTAACTTAGAGTCCAAATCATTTTTCCACTTTGCCACTGCTTCAAATGTGGCTGGCCTGGTGACATCGAAGACAATAAATGCACCCATAGCTTCTCGGTAATAGACTCTTGTCATGTTTCCAAATCTTTCTTGACCTGACACCAAAAAGAAATCAAAATGAAAAACATATTACAATTGTAAACCAAATCATATTAGAACTTCATGCAGCCTCCAAGATGAGGAAGTCACTCCGTAAAGTCCTTCATCTTAATTGTTGATCTTTAAGAGTGAACCAAATATGCAATCATGCAGCTTTGTTCTTGATTTTTTAGTTCAGAAGGGAATTCATTCATTTAACGAATAGGTGCTAAGAAACTTCTGTGTACCATGTAATATTCTAGACCTGTGCTAATACAGTATTCCAGTAGCCACATATGGATATTTAAATTAAATGAACAAAAACTAAATAAAATTTTTAATGCAAGTACTCTGTCACTCTAGCTAGCTACATTTCAAGTGTTCAGTCACCGCATGTTGCTAATGACTACTGTATTAGACTATGCCAATATAAAACATTTCTATCAGTACAGAGCATTCGATTAGGGTAACACTGTTTTAAACATCTGGGATACTCTGATTCAAACATGAGAATCCCTGACACCATGGAGATTATATTTTAATGGGAAGACAGATTTTAAACAATAAACATAATAAATAAATTATGTAGTATGTTTAAAAGGGATCCACAATCTAGTCCAATTAAAGGTTATAATAATAGCTACTATTCATTGCCTGTTTACTAACAATGAGAAATGTGATTTACGTAGCAATCATGAAGGTAAAATTATTACCCCCATCTTAAAGTAAAAAAATTGAAACTTAGTCTAAGTAACATTCTCAAATTATACGGATGGTAAGCTTGAGAAATCATAATACAAAACTGAGCCATTTGAATCTAGAGCTCACAGTCTTTTACCAACATTGAATACTCTCAACTACTAAACTATAGACTGTACTCTCTCTTCCACGGGCTTATGTACCAGTACCATCCCACTGAATTTGAGTGAATGGATATTATTGGATATCTATTGTATTGGTGCCAGTTTCTGGACTAGCTGCTCAGAGTACAACCGTAAACTAGACGGTCTCTACCCTTAAATACTCTACAACCTACTGGATAAGAAAAGTCCTCCTAGAGCAAAACACTAAATAACTTTTGTTTTTTGTTTTTATTTAAGGATAAAAATTGGTTTTAGAATTAGTTAGAAACAGCTGGAATCAATTTTGCTCTGATGCTTAATTTTCTGATTGAATATTGCCAAGTTTCTTAAGCACTCTAAGTTCATTCTTCCTCATCTGCAAAATGGCAATAATAATTTGTACTGCACAGTGTTGTCATGTGGACAAAGTGAATTCATATTTGCAAGGCACCCAGATAGTACATTAGAACTAGTCAATACTTGAGTTTTCCTTCTCTTTTGGCAGTATGCTAAAAAAAATATGAAAGACAATATGGTACAAGTTCTGAAATCAGAGTTTCAGATCAGAGTTTATGACAAAAAAAATATAAGTATTTCAGCTGAATAACAAAAATAAACAAAATCCTATTACTTCTAACTCTGTCGATTAATAGTTGCTGAAGATAGGAGCTAATGAAGACTGGCTTATATTTTCTGAACTCAAAATACCAAAAGTATGTGACCAGATGAAGTCTTTTTATTCTGATTTGGGAATTTATTTATGTTAAGAGTCTTATAAAGTTACATAAATTAAAACAAAGTCAGTGTGTATTTAACAAGTCAACTTTTCTTGGAAAGAGTAAAATGCTTAAAGTGGGTTGTATCTAAGAAAAGACAGATCAACATATCTCTAAGAACACTTTATCCTTAATTTTAAGCTCAAAGTTTTATAATGGTAAGTTTTAATTCAAGTTAGCAAGCTGTTTTGTAGATTGTTATATTTACATTGGTAGTAGCACTGAAATTGTAAGAGAAGGCTCCCTAAGCACTTAGTGAAAATGAATGAAGGTCAAGGGCTCTGGTCCCATTGTGTAAGCATGTGCGCAGAAGCAAGAATCACTGGAAAAAACAGTATTTTGTCAGGGCCAGCATATGACAATCTTACAATATTTTTTACATGGGTTACACCAGAGAAGCATTTTTTTTAATATCCCACAGTTGCCTAATCAATGAAATAAAGGGGCAAAATACTCTCCACATGACACATAATCCACAGATGAACTTTCAGTTTTCCCAAATAAGTTTAACATTTCTTTTCTTTTTTAATTCCTGATGCAAACAGTGATCTTCTTTGATACTGCCCAGGGTGGCCATGATGTTTCAGAAAAATAGGGGAAAAAAGCTTTCTGTGATTATTCAGAACTTCCAAGGCCTTAAGGCTTTTAAAGGATGTCTTATGATATCTTTCAAGGATCTAATCAGATGAAGAGCCAAGTCATGGCTTATTTAATAATCTGCTTGTCCAGAGGTTTTCATCGTAGAATACGGTAGTTCTCAAGAATAAAGATTTGCATTTTAAATATATAATAAAGAGTTATTTTGAGACCATACAAAAAAGCAATACGTAGGCTATACCTTCACAGAGAATCAAAAAAGAAAATTGTGTGTGTGTGTGTGTGTGTGTGTGTGTGTGTTTGAGTTTGTGAATGTATGTGTGTCAGATCAGAAACAAGAAGACAGACAGTTTGTTTCTAGAAAGAAAAGACATTTGTATGTTGAGGTCACTGGGCCAGCTCACTTGGAAAGTTTTTATTTTTGACATTCCAGCAAGGGGTCACATTTAGATCAGAGCATTTCTGATGCTGACATTGTTTCCTTCCTTTGTCAGCTGATAGTGCTCTTGGCTGTTTCTTATTCAAAGAATGAGAACCATGTGACTCAGAGTGAGTGCGTACTTTTGGACAAAGTAGAGACCTGATGAATTCATTACAGTTAAATTTCCTTTTAAAAAATGACTATAATTCAAAAACTTCCCTTGGCTTTAGATCACTTATTCAACATACATTTACAGAGTGGCTAATGTGGCTAAAGCTCTATGCTTGGTGCAGGAAATGTATAGTTTTTGCCTAGCAGGAACTTCTAAACTAAGTTGTGTCACACTGGATTACTGCACTGAAAATAATCAACTTCACCACGTAAGTCCCCAATGCTCTTAAACACACACTTCATAGTAGTGTAGATGGGGTTCATGATTCAGCTTTCAGCTATGAGGGGTGTTAAATGGCAAAGCAATCAATCAGTTCACAAAAGTTAATATAACAGATGTAAGAACTATTTAGATGATTTAACAGCAGAAGACATTAGCTTGAAAAGTCAGAAGACGGGGGTCTTAATTTTACTCACTAGTTACCAAAACAGACTTAGACAAATGTATTTCTCTCCCTGAGACTCAGTTTTCTTATCTATAAAATGAACCTGGTGTGGCTGATTTCAAAGGCCCCTTCCTCATGACTTAGATTAAATCAAACCTTGGCCCTCTGTCCCAATAGCCTGAAATGGTCCATTTGGTGTCACAGACTCAGCTAAAAATACACACAAGCATCACAGGCATAATGTGTGTCTAGCAATATTTTTACTTCAAGTCATCTTCTAGCTCTCTCCTCACTCCTTCAACCAAAAAGGCTCCAGTATCCAACTAACACTTCTGTTTTAGAGGTAGCCCTTAACTCTGCCCCTCCTCTCCCCTGGCACTGCTCCTGCTCCATCTCAGCCCCTCATCGCTTCTCAGCTGGATGTCTGGGAGCCCCTTAACTGGGGAACTCAGCATCTAGGCTCTCATAACTGTCTCTCTCCCTAAATATAAACATAAATTTAAGCACAGGTCTTCAGTCAGTTGACATTCTGGCAGCATAAGAAATCATCTGAGGTGCTTTATTGAATACCCATCCCCAGGTTGCATGTCTCAGAGATTCTTTTATTTTTTTTATTTTTGGGGGTTTCAGTGGGACGGGAGAATCACAAGGAATCAGGTGTTCAGAGGAATGTATTGAGTAGAGGTGAGAAACTAGGATGTTGAAAAGTAAAAAAAGGAGAGAAGGAGAGGAAGAAAGAGGAAGAAAAAGAGGGAGAGAGAACAGGAATATTGCTTCATTCTAAAAATGGGTATTAATAATGGCCAATCAATATTTTGTGTATTTAAAATGGAGAACTCTATAAATATTTATTGAGTTTACTTGTTCTGGATCTGAGTTGAAGTCCTGGATATCCTTATTAATTTTCTGTCTCGTTGAGTCTAAATCTTGTTATGGGTCTTATGCATCTGGGTATTAAGATCTCTTATTGTTACATTGATCCTTTTACCACTGTATCTTTGTTGCTTTGAAATCTATTTTATCAAATGTGAGAATTGCAACTCCTGCTTTTTGTTTTTTTATTTATTTTTGCTCTCCATTTGGTTGGTAAATTTTTCTCCAACCCTTTGTTTTGAGTCTTTGTGTATCTTTGGATACACCATTAGGTTTTGGCTGTATCTTTTGATTGGGGGATTTAGTTGATTTAAATTTAGGGTTACTGCTATTTGATGTTAACTGGCTATTTTATCCATTCGTTGATGTAAATTCTTCTTTAGTTTGATGCTCTTTACTTTTTGGTATATTTTTAGAAAGGCTCATACTGGTTGTTCCTTTCTATGTGTAATGCTTCTTTCAGAAGTTCTTGTAAAGCAAGCCTGGTGGTAATAAAATCTCTGAGTACTTGCTTGTGCATAAAAGATTTTATTTTTCCTTCAATTGTGAAGCTTAGTTTGGCAGGATATGAGATTCTAGGCTGAAAGTTCTGTTCTTTAAGGATGTTGAATATTGGCCCCCACTCTCTTCTGGCTTGTAGGGTTTCCGCTGAGAGATCTGCTGTAAGTCTAATAGGCTTCCCTTTATGGGTAACCTGGCCTTTCTCTCTGGCTGCCCTTAGTATTTTCTCCTTTGTTTCGATCCTGGTGAATCTAACGATTATGTGCCTTGGGGTTGCTCTTCTTGAGGAATATCTTTGTGGTGTTCTCTGTATTACCTGGGGTTGAATAGTGTCCTGCTTTGCTAGATTGGGAAAATTTTCCTGGATAATATCCTGAAAAGTATTTTCCAGCTTGGATTCATTCTCTCCATCACATTCAGGCACACCAATCAAACGTAGATTGGGTCTTT